CAAGGGTGTCATGATTTAAAAACATGAAAACTGATGCAGAGGAAAAACCACTCATAAATTACTTTTCTGAATATATGCTCATTTTTTGGTCTTCTAATTTTTAAGTACAATCATAATTTTAATAAAACTTAATAATAAAAGTCTTGGCTTATTCAATGATTTCATGATCTATAAATTATGTCCTTCCCGCTACCAAGCCATAAGGTAATTTTTTGTTGTTAAGAGGCATAAAGAGGTTTATTAGGCAGAATGTAAAGTATCCACTCAAAGCAATAGAGTGCAGGCCCTCAAGAGAGAGCCACACTATATTCTGGAGCTGGGAACATTTATGTGTTTTTGGTAGGGGAAATCTGTGGGATTAGTGAGTCTACAGAAAGTCTGGGTTTGGTTTACAGGAAAAAGCAATATCCCACCCACAGGTAGGAAGAGAATGGCTCCTTTTACAGGTGAAAGGATGGCCCATTTTACAGGGGAAAGATAAGGCCCAGTCTATTTTTTTTTTAACTTGGGTGATCTCAGATATTTTTGCCTAAAAACATTCTTTGAATCTGTTTATCTGTCTTAAAGTCAGGTTTTTGCTCCTTACCTTATCAATGAAGCTAATTTATAGATTTAAAGTATCATTAAGGGATTTTGGGTGTGATAAGCCTAAAGAAAAGAAGCACAAACAAACCTGGAGTAACCTTAAAGCAACTTTTAAATAATAAAAATCCTTAATACTAATTTACAGAGTGCTGTTAATTTGTTTTCTAATTAGCAGTGTTTCTTGAATTGTGGCTTTGATTGTTTTATATGTATAAATTAAGATTATTTATATCTTCCTCAAGGATTATCACCAGTATTTTGGTAAAAATTTTAAAGTTTGGGAATACCTTTTATCTCCTTTTCAAAACTACTAGTGGTCGGGCTGGGGATTTAGCTCAGTGGAGCCCATGCCTGCCTCGAAAGCACAAGGTCCTGAGTTTGATCCCCATACCAAAACAACAACAAAACTATTAATGGTCCTTCTCCTGCCAAAATAACACTGGACCTACAACCTAATAAAAATCCATGATTTACTATACAGTGAGACATAGGTTAATACATTATAGTGTGTAACAGAATATTTCATTAATTCTTCTGTTCAGCTAATATTTCCCAAGCACCTGCATGGGTCTAGTTGCCAAGGATTTAATAATGAACAATAACATTACATACGTTTTCCCTATAATTATTGAGCTTGTGGTTTAGTGGGGATAGAAGGACTAACCAGTAATCTCACAAGTAAATGTATAATTTCAAAGGTGACAGACCATGACATGAGAGATCTGGGAGTAGAGGTTTTGTTTCTGAGAAAATGTTTGATCTGAGATTCCGGCAAGAATAAAGATTGACAGGGAAGGGGGTGGTGAGGCCATGAACACTGCAGGCAGAAGTAACTGCGTATGCACAGGTCCTGTGGCATATTGAAATTGAAAGAATGCTTGGGAGACTAGAGCAAAGGACGTATAGAAGAGAATAAAGAAGTGATGAAGCCATGCAGGGCCTTTTAAATCATATTGACACTTGTTTTAAAAGCAATAGAAAGTCATGTTTTAAGTCACGTTTTGGTAGATGGCTGCAATCAGATTTTGTGCTTTGGTTGCAGTGTGAAGAATGTTACTAAAGAAGAGTAGGAGTAGATTAAGGGGACCAGTTAAGAGGCCACTGCAATGGCTGGTGTGAGAGATGATGGCTTGCACGGAAACAGTTGTGATGGTGGCAAGACTTGTGAGACACTGGTAGATGGATGGGGTTTGGGGGGTAAGCGAGAGGAGGCTCTAGATCTCCAATCTGTATGGATGGGAGCATCATTCAGAAAGTGGGGAGAAGAGGAAGTAGGCCTGTTACCAGGCAGCCTGCTTCTAAAAGTGGCTCGCCAACTAAACGTGACCAGATTCTGGGTTGCTTTTCTCCCTCTGGAGTTAGGTTCTTTTCATCTTGAACAAAGAGTTGAACAAAATGAGCAAAAAGTAGTGACAAAATGCCTTTAAGAAAATAAAAGTAAAGACTTTGGGAGGAACTGGCTCTGCAGACCAAGCTTGGGCTGAGTGAAGAGAAAAAAGAGGGTAAACACAAAAATAAAAGTACACGCGATACCTGGGAAACACAGTGGGGGCTACCGTGGAAAATGAGGATAGCAGGCTCTTCATGGGGTGGGTGTGTCCTTTATACCGTCCAAATCTGGAGGAAACCCACAAGAACTTTACATACTGGTCCTGAGGGGCGGTGCTGGGATCCCACTTCTCAGGCTGATGTCAGCTCTAGGCCATCCTGTTGAAAAGCTGTTGGAGTTCTCCAGAGAAGTCCATGTGCAGGGCTTGGGAAACTGTTCTGGGCATGTGTCTGGGATCTTCTAATTAACAGGTCACGCCTACTTCCCCAGCCAGCTTTACCACACCCTACTCTCCTATCTAGGCCCTAAGCAGGAGCTCATGAAGTCCCCTTCAATGCAGCTCCAGAGTGTTGGGTCTGAAGTCATCTCGATGGATATGTTGAATAAGCAGTCAGACCCATAGATGTGCAGTTAGGAGATAGGAATTTGGGAGGCCATGGTGATGAACTGGTAATTGAAAACACAGCTGTGTGTGGAATCATAGGGGAAGCTGTGCTAAGTGAGATGAAAGAGGACCTAGTGGTGCCATGAAGACCTCTCAGTGTTGATGGAAGCCAGAGGAGAAGGTACAAGGAAGGCCCCAGCAAGGGATGCGAAGAACAGGAGATGTGGCAGTGTGCAGCCGACTCAGGGAAGTGCTGCGGGGAAGTAGAAGCCAAGCACCTGCAAGCTGTGCATCAGATTTGCTAACACGAGGCTGCTGCAGCTGGTGTTAGTGAGACAGCCAAGTGGGCTGGGCTGAGGGGTGAGCAGGAGGTGAGACCAAGTGGGACAGCAGCTGGAGACGGCTCTTGAGAAGTTTGGCCCTGAATGATAGAAAAGATAGAAGGGATGCATGTGGTCAAGGTTAGAATAATCAACAAGTCATATCAATAATGACAGGGGAAGATATGGAAAGTATTGTGTGTAACATGAAAACCTGAGATACGTAAAATAATTCAAGTACCTGTATTAAAAAGTACTCAACTGCTTTAGAAGAATTTCAGCCTATTTTTAGGAAACTAAATCCTTTCACTGAAAGAAGTTCCCCCTTTTAACCCCAATTTGTAAACCAGAAGAAAGTGGAAGTGGTCTTTCTAGCACAGACATGAAGTACAAGGCTCCACTCATCCAAACCAATGTCCTTAGCTAAAGTTACAGAGAGGTGGCACATGTGTTACCGAATGGCTATTCAATAAGGCTTTCCTTGTGAAATGTGGTGATTCGAAGCAGTTCACAAAGATATATAAGAGACAATCAAATTAAGAAAAGGAAGGAATCAGAGCAAAATTAGCTGTCAGAATGGCATGCCCAGGCCCAGGAAGTTCAGGACCAGCATAGCAATAGGCCCAGGAAAGATGTCTCCTATGAATTCCCATTGGGGAAAATACAGTGTAATGGGCAACATCTTCAACAATCTTTTCTTCAGTAGATCTAGCGATATATTTTGTTCACCTGTTTCTTATTTTACTCAGGAGGCTAATGGGAAAACATCAAAGTGCTGCCTAATAAAAATAATTTTGGTGAGATTAAGGAAGTGTGGAAAAGAGGAAAAAGCAATTTCTGAATATTCAAGACTCCACTTTTGAAGGATACCACAAACCTCCCCTTTGACCCCCGTAAAACATATGTTTCCTTACCTTCTCTAAGAAACAATCATTTTTATTATTTTTCATTTGTACAAAAGTGGTGCACATTCATTACAAAAGTGCCAATAATTCTGAAATTTATAAGTATGAAAGAGTGTAATTCCCGAAAATCCCATCCTTTAAATGATAAAGTCTGATTTTGGTTTCAGCATATTCTCCTGAGACTTTGATGCATGTACAGCACTGATTCATGTACATATTTGCAAAATGGAGTGAAAGTCTATCTAACATGTAGGGCCTTGTGTTTCCGTGGCTATAGATTAGCTCATCAGGTGAATGTAAGATATTTCATACTGCCACATTATGGCTATTTAGGTGTTTCCATTAATCTCACTATTTAAAAAAAAAGCCTTGATGAATTTCCTGCAGAACTAACCCCTTTTCAGTTAAAGCCTTTGGGGGCTTTTGGGATTCCTTACCTAAATCTCCTCCTGTTAGTAAACCTGATGTTGACTCATTTGTTTTCTATCTTCACTTTCACCGAAGTTACCTTGTGCTTCATTTCCTAAGCCCTTGACCACTGTCTGATGACTCATAGTTCAGAAGAAAACAATTCTGTGTAGTGCATGCTGAACACTAATGACCAACACTCCCAGTCAATCACCCATTGTAGCATTCTTCTAGTAGCAGGCTTCACCCACAGACAGGAGACCTGGGCGGGAGGGATGAGGTGTCTGCGGGATACATCGAGTCAGCCCCATAGAAACTGAGCTAGTGTTGCAAGTGTTCCCAGACTCACAGCTGGAGGCTGCACAGCACAGGGGTGGAGGGCAGAAAGTCTGGATCCCAGATGCCTCGATTTGAATCCTGGCTCCAGCACCGGTTGTGTGTGAACTTAAGCAACAGTTATCTTCTTTCTGCTTCAGTTTTATATCTCTAAAAGAGCTTGAGTTATGAGCTCAAATACATTAATAAGTACCAAACACTTAGAACAGTGTGGGCTTACAATCTAAGTATAGTTTTCCTCAGTATCCACAGGGAATGGGCAAAAGGACCCCCTGAAGATACCAAAATCCATGAATGCTCAAGTCTATTTCATGAAACAACAAGGTGTTTGCATAGAACATTGACACATCGGCCCAAATATTTTAGATCATCTCTAGATTCCTTCTAACACCTAATACAATATGTATACTATGTAAATAGCTGTTATACAGTATTGTTTAGGAAATAATGGCAAGAACAAAGTGTGTACATGTTCTGTACAGATGCAACTTTTTTTTTTCTTTTGGTACCAGGGATCGAACTTGGGACCTTGTGCTTGCAAGGCAGGCAGTGGAACTATTTAGCTAAATCCCCGGCCCCAGATGCAACTTTTTGATGCAAGGTTGGTTGAATCTATCCATGCAGAGCCCACAGATGTGGAGAATTGACTGTAGTGTTTGCAAAATAAGTATAATCTATTCTCAACCTGCCACATGCTGACTTAAACAACTGAGTCCCTCCTAACTGCATGCTGCTATTAAACTGGGCCCAGGCTGAGGGCCTGCAGTAAAGGCCCAATTTTTCTATGGCAAATCTACTCACAGTTCACTAAAACGGTTCTTCATCTGATTACACATCCATGGATACACCTAGAGTTTTATTATGAAAATAAGTGTTTCTTTGCATAAATCTGTAACAGATTTAAAATTCTAAGAAATGGTTACTACTGATAAATTTGTAACAGAGAAAATACTTTTGGTACTGGAGAACATGAACATTATTGAATTATAGGTTATTAAATTTAATTTTATATGATTTTTAATTCCAAATTTTGTCTGACAACAGATTTGAAGTGGCTCAAAAAATACCACACAAGGAAAGAAAATATTCCATCATGTGCCTTTCGGGACAGAGAAGCTTTTCAAAGAAAATTCTCATCTGCAACAGATTTTACTAGGCTCTTTTCCAAACCAGCCCTCTAAATCAGTTTTAATACTTTTTAGTGAAGAGAGATTCAACAATAACTACCTTTATTCACCTACAGAAGCATATTTTAGAAACATCCTAGCAAGTGCTTAAAAACAATAATCGTTTTATGCCCCATATGGTCTTCACAGAGCCCATTACCAGGTGCTCCAGAAAGAGCAAAAACACCAAAATGTTCCTAAATATACAACTTCAGCTTGCTCACTTCTTCTGGGAACTTCTTCGGGGCCCCAATGGCTGTCTATCTTGTAGCCTGTAAAATGAAGCAGGTGTTCACCTAACCAGCTCTAGTTATAGAGCTCTTGTCCAGCAATTACCTCAATGCACGTGAAATTTGGATTTTTAGAAATCACACTTCCAACTCTGTTACATAAAATATCTTGGCACAAGGTTCAGTTTTGCCTCTTTTTGTGGTCTGATATATGCCCATGCTCGACTACAATCTAAAGCTAACATAACTCTGTAGTGAGACTAAATGCCATTTCTTCAGAGTGTGAGAAGAAAAGACATTTTCATCTCCTGCTTCAGAAGAAAACCTATCAAGTGCTAAGTGCATGAACGAACAATGAAAGCACAATCTTGTGAGTGTTTTCTGATAGTTAATTGGTTGGCTGAAAAAAATAAATGAAAAGTGTCTAGTGAATACCTCAAGCTCAATTAGGAAAATTTTCTGAAAGTGCTTATTCCAATAGACTTCCTAAAGAAAGTATTTTTTTTTTGCTCAAATGAAGGAGACAGCTGTGTGAAGTTTTTTTCTTGGTACTGGGGATTGAACTCAGGGCCTTTGCACGGAGCTACAACCCCACACACTTTTTTAGTTTTTATTTTCAAATATGGCCTCACTAATTTGCTGAGGCTGGGCTTGAACTTGTGATTCTCCTGCTTCACCCCCCAAGAGTGCTGGGATTATAGGTGTGTACCCCCACACCGAGCTTGTTAATTTTATATTTCTATACTTCCTGCCATGACCAAGATATGGCAGGTGTTCAGTAACAGTTGAACTAAATCAACTGTTGAAAATTGGTGAAGTATATGCAAAGGAAATTAAATCATCTCATCAAAAAGGTATATGCATTCTTATGCTTACTGCAGCAGTGTGCATCATAGTCAAAATGTGAAATCAACCAAGATATCTGTTAACAGATGGGTAAAGAATGGATAAAGAAAATGTGGTATTCATACACAAATGGAATATTATTCAACCATAACAAGGAATGAAATCTTGTCATTTGCAGCAAAATGGATGGACTTGGGTGACATGATAGTAAATAAAATAAGACAGATACAGAAAGACAAATACTACAAGTTCACATTTAAAAGGTAATTTGAAAATAGAATGGAAATTACTGGAGGCTGGGGAAGACATGGAGAGGTGGGTAGAAGGAGTTTGGATAACAAGAACCCAAACACAGTTAGGTAGAAGGACAGCTCTAGTGTTCTGCAGCATAGTAGGTTGACTATAGTTCACAGAAACCAAAAATATATTTTACGAAGAACTAGGAGAAATGGCAGCCCAAAGTCTTCCAACGTAATGAAATGATAAGGTGGTGGAAATCCAAGTATCCTGATTTGATCAGTATACATGATCAGTATACATGATTTGATACTGTATACATGTACTGAAATAACCTACTGTACCTTATAAATATGTACAATTATTACCTGTTGATTAACAGAAAAAAATTAAATTAAAAAAAAAGAATTAGCAGAAATCTAATTTTGTACACTTTGCCTGAAAAGCAAGAACATGGTCTCTGGAGCCAAGCATGCCTCAGTTCAAAATCTGTCTCTACTGTTTACCTGCCCTAAGCCGGGGCAGTGTAACCACAGTTCATCTGCTGGTCCTCGTAGAACACCACAGATAGCACAGGCTGGTGACTCAGCACAGTGGAAAGGAGGCTGTGATTATGAGGCCCTCAAATGAAACCTTGACCATCATCATCATTGGAAAATGAGTTTTCACCTAGGAATCCCACTCAATTCCTCTCTGCGATTCTGTTAGTTCATGTTTATTTCTAAAAACTTCATTCAATTTCATGCTTTAGGTAAAGTAGGGAACCTACCAGTTTTTTTCTGATGTTGGATGAATCCTGAAGTAGTTGTTTTTTTCTAAATATCGGGTGGAATTACTGGGTATATGCTAATATAAAAATATAAGAAACTGGCTAAATGGATATTGGACCCAACACATTCTGAGAAATATTTTATTGCTGATTTTTCAAAAGCCATGATATAAATTTGTTTCCTTAGGAGTACCTGACTTCTTTCTCCTAAAAAACTGCAGAAAATGTTTAAATAGGTCATCCTATTGGTTAATGTGGTAACCATAGTCAACACACCTGCCTGACACACAGCACTTGGGAATGTGGCACTGGAAACCAGGCTTCCACCTGCCCAGGTGTCTAAGAAGAAACAGAGAAGGTGGGTGGCACAGGCATCAGCCACCGCCACAAATCACTGGGCAATCCCCAAAGACATGAACTGTGGAGAGGACTGTCATCACACACTGGCCTTCTCAGTGACAGCACACTCGGGTGCACACAGGGCGCTTTGTGGGCCATCCAGGGAGCATCCTTGAATCACCAAGGACAGAATGCTGGCAGAGGGAGTCAGCAAGCAACTACTGCATCCATGAGCTGGGCTGGGAGGATGAAAGGCTCAGCGGCAGCTGAGAGGGAAAAGGTCCTGCTGCAGAGCCCTCAGGAAAGCTTCACCACCTTGTCACTTTCAGAAAGCTCTGCCAATGCTAGTGAGGAATGTGTGCTCGCCCCAGAGTCCCTCACTACTTGACATAGAGTTGCTGATTTCACTGTCATCAGAGACCTGATGAACTACAACACCCAATCTTGCTCAGCATCAACAAGAACAACGGACATCCTGGGAGGCCTGGGAGCCTGGATTTCTGATGGGGGAATCTAAAATACTTCTTGTACCATGGAACATTAGTGATGTTTTGAAATCAAAGAATGAAGACATTTCTCCAGCTCAGAGTATTAAGGATGCTTCTTGTGATTTGGAATGAGCAGGCCTGATGACTTCTGGGCTCTTCCCTCCTAGCTTCATTACAATTCCCTGGAAAAGACCTGGCCTAGGGCCCTGTGTGTCTTTGCTCCAGCAGCCCAACACTAGGAAGCAGAGCTTTAAGACATGGGACTACAGGAAAGCTCTGGAAACCCAGGAGAACCTTCTGTCTCCACTGAGAAAGGCCCCGAAGAAAGCCCAGCTTCCTGGCCACACCTCACTTGGTGCTGGAGTCACCAAAGTCTCTCTTCCTGCCCCACGGTGCCTTCCCTGACACCAGGCTGTCTCCACACCTATGACCCCCAGGCCTGCCTGTCATCATGTGAGCTGGGGAAAGCCACGTTGCCACCCATTTTTTTGGATTGTTTCCTAATGTTCATGATTCCTGGCCACTGAGAAGTGCTTCCGGGGACTGGACTTGCAGAGGGGCAGAAGAGGGAGGAGAGGAAAGTGATATGGAGATTGCTGACAGAGTGGAAAGGCAGTGGGAGTTCACCTTCCTTCCCTCCGCTCTCCAGGCCCCGGCACCAGGGTCAGCAGTTCATGCAGAAGATATCAGGATTCTTTGGAGCAATTTATGCTCCCAAATCCGCACTGACAGCCCAGGCCAAATTGCCTTCCTATGTGAAGGTCATTTGCTCTGTCAAGCACTTGACAATTGCTCAAAGGGAAATGAGGGAATTGTTTTGTATAAATGAGTCAACTTCTCTTGAATTCACACCACTTGCGATGGACCATGCCATGACAGTCAGGTAAGTTTGCACGGCTTTAGCTCAGCATTATCAGAAAACATGATATGTACTGTGTGCCTCTCAGCTTATGTCCTGTGTCAGGTTTGGGGATGAAAATAATTTGGACATAATATAGTCTAGGCCATTTCAGCAAGGCTGGAGGCAGCATGTTCAAGATATGTGTTCGCATTCCAGTTATCCAAAGTGGGGAAGGAGAGAAATAATGGGAATTTTCCAGTGTGGTAAGTAACTCACCCCAATCTTCTCTGTCCTTCCATATGACCTTCATTCCAGAGGTGGCCAGTCCTGGGAGGGCGGCAGGTAGGGGATGTGCGATTAGATGTCCAAACCTCAGCACTATGAAAACTGGAAAATTTGGGCAAGTTGAGGGGGTGGACAGGTGCTGGCAGAGGATGGTTAACCTGAACAATAGATAATTGAGAGTTAACTCTACAACCTGGATACACATTGGAAAATACATTCAGTTAGTTCAATGTTTGCAATTTATGTGGAGGAAGGGATGCGTCCATGCTGGGTAGTCAATCAAGAAGCATTCGTGCTGTATGTTCACATACGATGGGATGGGAGACTTTAGGTTAAGAGAAAAGTAGATTTTCTCCATTATTTCCAATGTCTGCTATGAGCTACAGTGATATCACTGGGAAGAAAACTTAACTTGTGATGGTATCAACCACTCTGTTTTATGCTCTTTAAGAAACTCTTTTAATGTTTTCTGATCATCTTAAATGCCTCCATTGGTAAAGCAGGTACTTTGTTGGGGGAGGAGGGATTTCCATGCTCATCAGGTTTTCAAAAACTTCAGCCACTTGGATGTAAGTCTTCAGTCAAAGGCAAGTTTAGAGTTGTATGCATGCAAAGGAAGAATAAGCTTTACGGTCTATACCCCACTAACTCCCAGTGCACACTTGCTGGAGGGCAGCAAGGATCAAAGCAACCTCAACATCTGCTCAGAAGCCCAGAGCTCTTCCAGAGGCCCCAGAGGCCGATGGGTACGGTCACCTGGGGGCCCCAGCTGGCTCAGTGGGCACTGGCACACTCAGCCTACACAGGACACCAGGCCTAGAGATGACTCCATCCAGAAAATGACTTCCTGCCACTTTTCCCTTCTCCTCTCCATCCTGCCTAGTGTGCACAAGACTTTGGGAAAGATTAAAATTCTGTATTCCTCCTTCACAGCAGTTGAGGATTCCTGGTATAGATGATATCGCACCCAGAAAAACCAGGAGTCAGGGTGTGTTTTGTCCATTTCTCCTGACTTCTAAATCTGTGTCCTACCTCTTAGTTGTGCCGCTTGATGCTTCTGTGTGGAAAATTGGATTTGGATTGTGGGAGTCTGTATATGTGTGTGTGTGTGTGTGTGTGTGTGTGTGTGTCTGCAGACGTGTGCCCATGTGCATGCATGTGCACCTACATATGTGTGTGTGCATGTGTGTGCTTATGTATGTATGCTCACATGCTGGGGAGCAAATTTGCAGTGGAGATGCTGAGGAGAGAGAGCTCTAGTCTGTCCTTGGTGGCAAGAGCTAGTCAGAGCACAGGGATTGGGCAGAGACTGAGTAGCAGCAGGTAACCTCTATCTGTCCTAGAGATGCCAGTCTGCTTGTAGGAGGAAAGGCATCTCCTTCCAGAAGACCAGAATACTGTGGCAGTGGAGAGAATATAGGCATTGCACTCGTGTTCTGAGGATGTCTATAGAGTAATTGATTAAAGTCTGTTTGCAATAAACAACTTAGGAAACACCAATGAAATTTTAAAAATTGTGGCTTGTATGGCCAAACATAAAAACTGAGAGGAGTTTTTGAGTAAACTGAGACCTGCCATGAGCAGGTACGTGCACCTATAGGAGAGGGTTGCTAGCTACCACCAGGGTCCAGAGTTTCCCTGCTCAGTAGGAGGCAGGGAGAATAGGCTAGGGAGACCTTTTAAATTTTGCTTTATTCTTTCCTTCCCCTTTTCCTTGCTAAGAAAACAAACAAGCAAACAAACAAACAAAAACCCCAGAACAAAATAAAAATACAAGAGATCAAGGGGAAGAGGAGGAAATATAAAACCTAGTTCATGAATTATTTATTAAGCTTGAGATCGGTAGAATTCCAGCAGCCAGGGGTCCTGACCCTTTCTCACATCTTCATGTCTTCTGACTTCACTTCCGAGCTGACATCGCTCCCACGGTGCAAATTACACCTCAGTCCTGGGCTCCCACTATCTCATCACCTATCCTGGGCATCACCAACTCAGACCACCAGTCCAAAAGGTCTCAAACTGTATCAGGATCTACTCTCTTTTGTCATTGTCCCTTTTCCTAGGCCACTCCCTTGCCATGTCCTCACTTCCTTACACAACTGCAAAGATCCACACCTCACTAAAGTAATTCCCTTCTTTGCATCCCAAACACCCACTAGCTTCTCTCCAACTTAGTCACTTGAAGGTACCCTGCGCCTGGTTAAGCCCACTCCCCACTTCCTCCAAGCCAGCACCAGCACAGCTCAAACCCACTACACTGGTCCACATGGCCTAACAGGCTTCCCATGTTTCCCTGGCTCTCCCAGACATCCCTGTCACTTGTTCTTCCTGCTCCTGGAACCCTGCAGCATCCCTCTCCTTCCAGCTGGGCAAGATCACAGAAATACCTAGATAGTACCTGCTCATCCACCCATGCTCAGACTGACCATCTGCTACGGTGTAGATCTAGAATGTCCTCCCAAATGCCATGGACTCCCGGATGGGACTTTTGGAAGGTGATTGGATGATGGAGCATTATACTTGCCAGTGGATTCATCTACTAATTAATTCAGCAGCCCAGTGTGCTGCTGGGAGGTGGGGCTTGGTTGGAAGTGAGTCACTGAAGGTGTGACCTGGAAAGGTGTATCTCCCTCTCTGCCTCCTCCTTTTTCTCTCAGCTTCCAGGCCACCATGATATGACCAGCTCTCCTCTACCCAATCCCTTCCACCAAGCCCTTCCTGCCATGGAATCAGCTGACCATGAACTGCAATCATGAGCCAAAATAAACCTCTCCTCTTTTCAGTTGCGGGTGTCAGGCATTTTTGTCCCAGCAATGAGAAAGTGACTAAAACAACATCTAACACATTGTCCTGCCTTCTCCTCTTGCCTCTCATCTGCTTAGTGCCAGCTGTTTAGTTCTAGGTTGGGGCTCTAGAAGCAGATGCTGAGCTGAGGATTTGGATGCAGCAATTTAAGGAAATACTCCCAGGAGCAGCCAGAGATGGGGTGGGGAAGGGCAAAAGGCAGCAGGTGTGGGACTCCAGACTTGCAGTAGAGCATTGAGTCAGGGTGACTGCAGTGTCACTTAACCTGGAATTGTCCCGCCTGCTGGCAAGGGAGCTGGGCTCTCATCTCCACCCTCATCAGCAGGCAAAGTGGTCCAGTAGCCCAGGGCAGCATCTGCAGAACTGTAGGGATGGAGATATACAGTAAGAGTTTTATGGGATGCTGGAACATGGTGAGGCATAGAGAAAGGAAATGCAGAGTAAGAGACTGGCGTGGAGGGATGGGCTCTGTCATAAGGATGGTTGGGACAGTCCTGATGAGACACAGCACAGTCTAGTGAAGACACAGTCTGAGACAGAGGGACTCTGGCAAGGGCACTGCTGGAGGTAAGTCCCCTTTGGTAGTAATGTCCAGGCAGTGGGGTGACCCACCCACAGGTTCAGCCTGTCTGGGACTTTTCTGGTTTTAGCACCAGCAGATTCCATGGGAACATTCTGGCCAGAGTAGCTGGAGAACTGACAAAAGGAAGGAGAAGCAGGAGGTGAAGGTGTTACCTGGGGGGTGACCACATCTTGTAGGACCTCAAAGACTATTTAGTGTTTGGCCCCAAGGAAAATGTATGGTCCTAATACCCACAGGGTTTGACATATTTCACCTTTCCCCTTCCCCAAAGCCCTCCCAGTTCACCTTTGTAGCACTGTTCACTCCCTAAGATATATTTCATGTTTGTCTTTGTGCATGTTTAGTTTCTGGATCCCTGATTAGGAGGCAGGGTCCCTGAGGACAGGGGCTTGCATGCTCTGCTTTTTCCTAGACTCGGTGCTGAGACCCACACCCGGCACACACCCAGCTGCCTTGAAGGTTGGTGACAGTGAGTGGACGATGGAGTTGGTATTGGATCCAGGGGTATCTGAGGTGCACCTGCATCCCTTCCCTCATACAGACCAGCTGCCAGTGGGCTGGGGTCTTTCCCTGTGGAACTGGGAGACAATGCCACCTTCTAGAAGCACCTGCCTAGGAGGTTGATTTCTGATGAGCAAAGTCTTTAAGGGCAAAACCAGATCTCAACCATTATTCATTTGTCCTCAAAGAAGCATCGAATTCATAAAAATTGTCAGAAATATCATGTGGCTCATACTTTAAGCTCCTAGCAGGGCATCTATTCTTCCAAAAAGCCTGTGGGGAAAAAACATAAGAATTTTAAGATCAAACAGAAGTTACATGTTGAGATACATTCCATTACAGAAGTTGCACTAACCCCCCCCCCAAATAATATTTATTTTCCTGAAATGAACAGAAAATACATTCCTAGTCACATTTCTTCAGTCTTTAAATAGGGAAAACCCTAAACATTTGTCTGAGACACTGCTGCCTTAGCAGTAAGGATGGTGGGGATCAGGGAGCTTCCTTCCCCCCTGAAGGGGGGCTTTGTGGCAGTTTATCAGCCACACCTGGCTGTGGACTGTATGGAGATACCCCAGGGAAAACGGGGCATGTTAGTTGATCTTTACCCAGCTGCATTTTTCATCTACAGTAAGACTTGCTCGTATTTTATCTTTACCACCCAAATATTAATTCTAGCCTAGTAGTCTGATTGCACTGTTATTTTCATAATATTAATTTGTCTGATTTCAAAATTATTGCACACACATGGTATTTTTCATTTGCTTCCCCCATCCATTCTTTTTCCTGGCCACAGCCACAAGATGAAAATATCAGGAAGGTAGTAATTAATTTATCTAGTTATTATTTTGGGGATCTATTATATCAT